GAACCCGGCCATTGCAAAAGAATGAGAGTCTTATGAGAGAAACCGTTGGAGTTCTAACACATATCGGTCTGTTGCAGCGTCTCGGCGGTATGAGAAGATGAAAACATCAGCTGAGATGACCATGTGAGTCACCGTGAAGAGAAGTGAGACCGACTTCAGTCCTCGGTCTCAGCGCCTATGAGAGGCGCGCAAGACTTCCATTAGTGTGGTCACAGCGTCACAACCACAACCTGGGGACGAAGAGCGACTTTCCGGTGACAATGAAGTCTGTTCAAGTATAAGCATTGCAGTTAACAAATGAAGGCTACTAGACTGTTGTCAGTGTGTTGCGAGCCAGCGAGGGAGTAATATGGGAGAGACTAGCAGCTTTGAGTGAGGTGACAATCAGTTTAATAGTGTGCAATACATTACTTTTTACAGTTCTCCATTGTATTGTTTGCATTAGCACGCAATTAATTGTGATTAATTGCAGAGATCCGTGCAGAGGCTGATCATATATATGGTTTACAGAGGGGTGTCGTTCATGGCTCGTAGTCTCGGGACGCGCGTCACTATCGCGCGTCACAGTGAATGTGACGTGACTACTGAATGACTATTACATGAATAACATAGACTAGAGGCTACAACAGCTTCATGCACTAGTTTGATTATTTGCCGTTTCATGCCGATGAAAAGTTGCGTGTTTCCAGCGGAGCGCGCAGCGTTCAAAGTCGCTACGTTAAAAGCTTCAGTTTAATCACTGAATGGAGCTCGCGACATTAAATTGCTTACACAAAACTCTTGATCGGCACTCAGCGTTTGTTTATTGTTGTTTATTGTTGTCGTTCATTCAAACCGCTCTGCGCAGAGAGAGAGAGAGAGAGAGAGAGAGAGAGAGAGAGAGAGAGAGAGAGAGAGAGAGAGAGAGATAGAGAGAGAGAGAGGTCCGCGTTCTTGTCCGTCAGTTAATTTACTTATTTGTGTGCAGGTAATATGTTGTTAAATCGGTTTAAACTTCAATAAACGACCTATACAAGTAGTTCTGTCTCGTTGTATTCATTTGTCCTGTTATTGACGCGCCTAATGCGCAACCAGATATTGGAATATATTCGAACGTCATTTCTGAACAATTTTGAC